CCCCCCCCCCCCAATCCTTCCTCCCTTTCCCTGAGACAAGGTGTTGATGAACATGTTTTTCCAAGACTGGGGAAAGCATAGCGTCATTCGCTTATTCCCGAAACTGTAGCAACCGCTGATGAAGTTTCCTACTTCATGCAAAAGTCAGCCGGAGGCTTCAGTGCCCCTTCCCGTCCCTCGGAGGCTTGCTTCGCCTTTTGTAGTCACGTTAGTTCCGAGGAGCTGCAAGATAGAAAGAAATTTTATCTACAGCATGTAAAAGAAAAGAAGGTATTCAGGAAATTTGAGGTGTACTAGCGCATGTCTGTCCAACTGTATGCCAAAACATATTTCTTGCTCTAATACTGTTTTAGTGTCTGTACTTCTGATTTCTATTCTAGGTAACCAAAGGTATTTCATCCCAACATAGTTGCATTTTGTGGCTTGTTTACTTCAGAGTGTAATCAAGTTATATTTAATATCTAGCTTAATTTTCTTCTGGTGTGCAGAAGGAAGCTCCTTTTTTTGAGAAGCAAGTTTTGTCAGCAAGTTCTAATTTTGATAGCAAAACTGCTGACTTGGTTGATAACTAGTGTAAAAAAAAAAAAAAAAAAAAAGAAAAAAGATGTTGATGAATACCAGACTCTGCTCAATGAGCTTCTCATTTCCAGTTTTCTTAATGCTTTGCTGCTTTTAGTCGTTCAGAGGATTTCTCTGGTGGTTGTGGTGTGCGCTGTGGTTCGCAGTCTGTCCAGGGCATGTCAGCATTACGGTTCAGCCCTCGGCGTCCCTCGGAGGGGCAGCCGACGGGGCATGTTTTGAGTACAACGTTGAGCTCCTGTCTGTAGCCAGGGCAGTGAGATTGTAAATCAAGCTCCTTTGGAAATCAGTTATTGCAATCACAGTTATATTTTCTCAAAAATATCTATTCAGATAATGCTTTTTTTAGCTACATACTTGAGTTGTGGGATATCAGCTACTAGCTGGCATGGCAAGGGTTTTTCTTTAATCCGCTGGTGTTCAAAGGTGTGAAAGACAAAAATGCGTAGTCCAGATAGCACTGAATGATTCAGCAAACAAAAACCAGACTGCTACATCTATATAAATAATAAAAACGATGCTACACAAATTATAGTGTGAGAAAGCACTGATGCGTTTATATATTGGTGGTCACACTGGAAAATATTAATTCTTTTTAATTTAAACATTAGTAGCCTGAATTGTAGCAGGGAAACTACTCCTTGATTAGTTTCGTGACCCCAGACACTGCCTGCTGTGTTACTTGTTTTTATTCCAGTTTTAACCCTTAAAAGCGTTCGCGGAGTCTGTGCTGTATCGCCTGAAGAGGGGCAGCCCTTAGCGTGCCTCTGGCTCTGGAAGTCGGGTGTTTGATTTCCAGTCTCTTGATACTTTGTACGGCTTGGTGTAAAGCAGCACAGCAAGGACACCCTGTGGGATTTTAAAGCGGTCCATTAGTGTTGTTGGCTTCAGAAATAAGTCGTAGCGAGAGTATCTAAAACAGACTGCCGAGCTGCATCTTTATTTCTTAGTAAGACCTTGCCACTTTACTCTGAAAGACTTGAAATAGTTTCAGCGGGAGGGCTGCCTGTCGCACGGCGGTGGTTACGTGAGCTGTGAGCAGTCAGGGCGGCCCTGTGGCAAACCCGGTTTGCTGAAATCCCTGCCGGGCTCCTTCGCCCCCCCCCCCCCGCATCCCAAGCAATGGCAGAAGAGCGTGCCATTGAGCTCCAAGGCACTGACACCTCTATGGCGAAGATACAGAAGTTCCTGTGTTACAATAGCAGTGTTAAAACATTTCTGCTGTCCCGTACTTGCTGCATGCACGTTGCTTGTCGTGTAACGCAGTCCAGGGCACACGGAGAGTGGGAGAGAAGACATTTGTCATTGCGCTAGAAGCAGACACTGCTCTTGGCAACAGACACAAATTACATTCCCACCTGAAATGTTTTGTTGATCAGCTGTTCGCAGGGGAAGGAAATGGCTTCGCCGCCTTTGAATCTGTTCCCCAGAGCGGCTGTGGGATAGTTCCTGCGCTTTGCTTTTCAAAAGAAGCAAATGCCAGACTTTGTGGTGTTTTTCAGCACCTCTGTTTTGAGGTGGGCCCCGTGGTCCGTTGCTGTCTGTATGTGCTCCCGAAATGTGAGGGGTGGGTCAGGAGGGGGTTTGTCACGGGGAGGGCCCCGGCTGCGTGGGTGGCTTTCCAGAGCCATCCCGGCTGTCTCTGAGCTGGCGGCTTTCCTCCACCCTGGCGTCCCTCAAATACTGGTCACAAATGCTTCAAGCAGTCACTGCCGGCTGGTCTGGCTGTGCAAGGACTCACTTGGAGGTACAGCGTGTAATATTGCCGTTTCGGTTGACTTCTTTGGGCTCAGCCAAAACAGCCACTGTGAGTGACAGTGAGCGATCGACAGACCTTTCCTTCTGAGGCACCAACAAGGGAATTTGGTCATTCAACCATCTTGGCATACTTACTAGAAGTATGAAAGACTCGGCCTGCTTGGTGGAGAGGCCGTAAGTACAGCGCTCGATGTCTGCCTCCGTCTCTCTGACCAATTTTCTGTTTCTTGCTTCTCTACTGATGCTACTTGTGTCCCATCCTGTCACCACAGTGTCTAAAAAAACTACATAAACCTGTGGTGGGGAAAAAAAACTCTTCTAGGTCTTTTGGAAGCTTTGTGCCTTTTTTGCGAGGACCATGTGAAAGAGCTGCCACCTGCCCCTTACAGGTGAAGGCAGAGGGGGATGTACCCAGGACCCAGACCCAGCAGAGGACAGCATTTGGGTTGCCCGTGTCCAGGGGCCACCATCATCCCCACTGCCCAGGGGGTACTGAGGAATGCAGGTAGCATCAGTGGGCACCGATTCAGAGGGGTAATGATCACTCCCATATGTACCTTTAGGCTCCAGCTTTGAAATAAATGGTGAACAACAAATGAAACGGTGTGTAGTGGGGGGGTTGTGTATTTCGAAATTAGTTAAAAGTAATTGAACGTGGCTGTGGAGGTGCAAAGCAGCAAAGTTGTTCTTCCATCACATATTTTTCCCTGGAAAATACTCGGCCTTAAAGACACCCGAAGTTGGCAGTCTGACTTCTTCATAGCACCTGGTTTGGAGGCTGCACAATGCCAGTCTCTGTTGCAAAATAACAACCAAAATTTAGAGGGTGTTTGGCTAGGCTTTTCTTTCTTTCCTGAGGTGGAGGGAATAATTAGGCTGTGGAGTTAGACCACAGTGATGGATGTGATATTGCTTCTCTCTGCAATATGCAGTGGGGTGGGATAAGACCACTGCAACTTTGACTGTAAAATACCTTTCTAATTAAAACAAGAAAAAGTAGAACTGTTGTGACATTTATCATCAACACTTGATGCTGTAAATTGCAGTGTAAAGGTCTGGTGGAATGAGCACCGTGGTTATCTGAGCTAGGGGGGTTTTGTGTGAAGTGTGTTCCTGTCCAGGATCTAAACTAACAAATGGTTTCTCAAAGTTTTCTTTACGTTGGTGGCCTATTCTGGAGAGCTGTGATTTACATTTGAGTTCTTGGCTTTTTCCCTCACTGCTGCTTATTTAAGCAAAAGTGACTCAGTCTCTTCATGGGGAAGTGTTTAGTTTGTCTGTTGAATTAGCACTATTACATTGTGTAATCAAAAACAGTATCTTTCCATTTGTGTAGAGCTGCTAGTCTGAAATGTAAGTTACTTGACATGCTGCTCAAGTGAATTCCCTTGTCCTGAAGAGTAAGTATGGTTGCAAGAAGGGCATTTTTGCTTTCACTTATAATGTCAGTGTTTTATAGTTTTTGAGGGACCAGTTGC